GTGTGTTCATCTCTTATTGTGCACTTTTATGTACAAATATTTGATTAAATGCAACTGAAATGATAGTTTTCTTTGGGTCTCAAATTAAATCCTTTCTCAAGTAAATGCCTCAAAATGTTTCTTACTTTAATACAATTTAAATTTTGTTTTTCCCAATTAAGAATAAATCTATTGAAAGGAATATTTTTATGTAAGAAACAAAGTAGGGACCTGGTGTGTGTGTGTTGTAGGGGGATAGGTTTTCAATGTAGATGAAATAGCCTGTACAAGAAGGTCCATGAAGGAGAACACCTGAGATTTGGGAGGAAAGATGGAGGGCAAAAGACATAGGAGTCTGTAGGGCCACAGTCCACAGAAGAGACCATACAGGTGGGGGCTGTGACTATAATTGAAGTGTATTAGAGGGTAGAGGGCAGGGACAGTGACATAGCCAGTTGACTCCACTGAGAGTCAAGTCTTAGTTCCCCAACACACAAACTAAAGATATTCTCCCTCCTCCAGTCCCCTGACCTGGGGCACCAGCCTGCTCTATTCTGTGACCCTTTCCCTCCTTGTGGTGCTGGGTCATCTAAAACCCTCACCTGGGCTCAACAGGGACAGATGTGAGCCTTTACAACATATCAACAATGTAGGGACCCTCCTTGGCACTGTTTCCAGAGTCAGATTCCCTCCATCAGGGTCTCCACACCTCCTGGGATGACCAGACCACAAGACACAAGGCAACGAGACCGGGAAGAAAGGGATATTGAGACTGCAATAGTTGTCTGCGACTATAAGTGCAGGCATCAATGGGAGCTGAAAATAAAGAACAAAGGAGAAATCCCTGAGGGCTAATGACATCTGGTCAAACCAAAGATGTTGCCCTAGTGTGTGGCAGACCCTCCCAGATCTCTGTGCCATATCTTCCAGCAGTCACCCCTCAGCCCCCTCTCTCTGCACACAACACTGCAGGAGGTATGAGTGGCCTCATCTTCATGAGGCCACCAAGCAGCCAAGGGAACACGGTGTCCTAGGATCCTCTGCTAGACTGCCCAGGCTGTGGCCCCCTGAGCTCTAAACATCCTGCAGATGGCACTCTGCCAGTCCTGCAGGTGACACTTTTCCCCAGGCCAGTTTCAGTGGAACAAGGGGACACACTGGCACTGTGATCAGTGGATGCAGTCTTCCCTTCCACGCCCCTCCTGCAGCAGGAGGGGCCCTGCTCTCTCAGTAGAAGTGCATCAACTCTGGCCTCAGCAGAATGTCCTCTAAGTCACTGCCCACAGAACGGAATGTTTAGTTGAAAATAAACAAATACACACACCATGGAGACTGCAGAGCTGTCACCTTTCTCCAATGGCTGTTGCTGATTCCATCTTCTCCACCGCATGACCATCTCAGTTTCAAGCTTCCCAGACTGTGTCTGTCCCTCACTGTTCCTTCCTGACCCTTCACCCCCAGCTTGCTTCATTCCTGAAAGTCCCTGGGTCTGCTCTTTCCTCCCACTGCAAAGCTCTTCCTCTTCCAGGCTGGATTCTCTAGGTCAACTCCTCCCTCCTTTGCTGTTCTCCCAGCTCCTTACTACCACCTCCTTAGGGAAGTATTTCTTCAATCATTTCCCTAGGCCACTCCTTTATGACAGACATTCACACCTTATAATATTCATAGCATTTAGCACGGTGGTTGTTTTACATGAATTTTACAAGAATTTGCGTGTCCATTTAACTTCTCTTGAGCTCTACACTGGACATCTCATTATTGTAGGGACTATGGCTGTATTTGACCCCCATTTTTATTGCCAGTACAGGAGCAGTTCTACTACTAGTGGCCAATCGTTAGAGAATGTGTGAATCAAGACAGACCCCAAGGTTCCAACTCAGGCCTTTTCAGAGGTCTGAATTTATCATTTGGGAACTTATACCCCTTTGTCTTCTGGGATCAGGGAAATCCTGGAGAGAGTTAGAAAGCTCTGTGGGGGGCATGTACCTGGATCCTAAGACTTTCTGCAGTACTGAGCTTCATATCTTCCCTTCACCTTCTTAGGCTTGTCACCTTCTTGATCTTCTTTCCTCATAGGTCTCTTGGATTTTAGAATTTCCCAGACACAGAGAAGCTAATCACTGGCAGAAGGATCAAACACATTAGAGTTAAAAAGTGAGAGAACAGAAAGTGGATGACCTCCCTAAGAGGCTAGGGAGATTTCCCCCAGGCACAAATACTTCTTGGGTGGCTTTGAGGTCACGAGGCCCGACACTGTAAACCAAATCCCGGATGGCCACTTCCCGGTATTGACGAGCAATGCCAAGGACCCACAGCTGTGCTCACCAGCCTCCTCTAGTCCACACTGACCACGGGGCAGGGTGTGGAGCAGAGTCCTCTGCATGATTCTTCTCTTTCACTAGGTGGGAAAGGCTGGTTGGGACACAGAGGTTCCATTTATAGAGCAAGGCTCTCTCTGTATTAGTCCTTGAAGACTTGTGAGAGTCATTTTGGGTGGAAGTAATCACATCTGTGGTCACCTAGGAGGGACCAAGGGTGAATCGAAACCTTAGTTCTGCCTGAATGAGTCCCATACTTGCTTTAAAGTCTAATGTGGCTTTATCCCCTTAGGCAGCGAGGACCAAAAATAAACCCCTATTTCAAAGAGTGGGACATTAAAAAGCTGAAGTTAGGACATCTTCCCTGAGGACAGCATCTCTTCTGTTCCATGTGCTAAAGCCATACTCGAGAAAGCTGTGGCCTATGGATAAACCCTGGGATGACATTGAGATTGATGTGATACTGCTCCTTGAATTAGAATCAAAGTGAGCCTTTCCAGAGCCTGGAAAATGTAAAATTGGAAGTTAACTCTTATTGAGTTTGGAAATGTAGGCAGTGAAGTTGCTCACTTACCTTCCTCTTCAAATAAGGGTTTTGTTCAAAGCCTGCTCAAGAGTGAGGAGTCAGTCCCTCAATTTCCTCATGAGATCAGGCTTTCAAAGGTAGAAGCCATATTAGCTCCTAATCAGCGTGAACTGACATCAACATCAAATGCATCTGCCTCCCTGTTCACCCACCTCCCCAGAGACAGACCACCCATGGGCACCAAAATTCCTGTTTCACTCACCTCCCCAGTGACAAACCAGCTATGGGCACCAAAAGTCTTAGCTATTTTATGTGGCACAGTTTAATCTCAGTTTATTCAAGAAAATGCGCCTTTCTACAGCTATGATTATAGCCTTTTCATACTTGACTCATTTACACATTACAAATTCTACTACCTGATCAAAGATCTGAATTTCAAGTTTTCCTGTGATCATGTTTCTAATTAGAAAACTCAATGATATATAAAAAATGCTAATGATCCCCACAGCCTCCCAATCCAGTCCCGCCTTCTGTAGGAGACCCATTTTGACACTCCAGTGTGTTTAACACCCCTCTTCTGTGGGTTCATGGAAGCGTTTCTACCCAAATAAACCTTCACAATAACTGCCACATGCAAAACTTTTCTCTGAATCCACTTAGGTCTTCATCTTTTTAGATGGACGTGGACCTGTCTTGCTCCTCTTAGCTGCTTCATGGTGCCTGAGGAGGATCCACAGGTGCATTCCTGCTCCATCATTACCTCTTATCTCTTTCCTGACTAATTCCTGATTCTGCCAGGTCTTTCCAAAGTGACTGAATGACTGCCAAAGCCAATGTCTCGGCTTGACACCAGAATCACGAGCCACCACACAGCTTTGTAGGTTCAAACAGCAATTCTTTATTCC